GAGGGGTGGGATGGGGACACGAGTGTGCAACAGGGAGACGGTCGTGCGGTGGGGACATGGACATGCGGTGGGGACACGGGTGTGCAACAGGGACACGGGTGGGTGATGGGGACACGCGTGTGCGATGGGGACACGGGCATGGGATAGGGACATGGACATGCGGTGGGGACACGGGTGTGCGGTTGGGGACATGGGCATGCGGTGGGGACACAAGTGTGCAATAGGAACACGGGTGGGTGATGGGGACATGGGCATGTGATGGGGACATGAGTGTGCAGTGGGGACACGGGTGGGTGATGGGGACATGGGCATGTGGTGGGAAGACAGGCACGGGATGGGGACAGGGACATACAGCAAGGACATGGACTTGTGATGGGGACACAAGGATATGATGGGGATATGGGCGTGCAACAGGGACAGATGTGCAACAGGGACACGGATGTGTGGTGGGGACGTGGACATGCGATGGGGACACATGCTGGGGAAGGGGACGGGTATGCGATGGGGACACGGAGGCGCAGTGGGGACATGGGCACGCACTGGAGATGTGGACGCGTGACGGGGACACGCGTGATGGGGATGCAGATGTGCAACGGGGACATGGGCATGGGATGGGGACACAGATGTGAAGGGGATACACGCTGGGGACACAGACACACGCTGGGGACATGGGCATGGGATGGGGACACAGGCATGGGATGGGGACACACATGATGGGACACGGCTGCGCGATGGGGACATGGCCATGCGATGGGGACCCCCCACGTGCAACGGGGACACAGCCCTCATGGGGACAGGGCCATGCGATGGGGACAGGGACACACGTGATGGACACTCAGCCACGTGACGGGGACCCTGCTGTGCCACGCGCACGTGGGGGCCGTGCCAACGTCCCCCAGCCCCGGGTTGGTGCCAGTGAGGTGACGCCCCACGGGACCAGTGACCAGGGCAGGGGGGAGCTGGCACGTCCCCAGGGGGTCACATTGGTGACCGCGCCGGGGGGGGACACACACAACATTTCCCTCCCATCCTCGCTTGGCCGAGCCCGGGGGCGAAGGTCTCAGTGGGGAAACTGAGGCACAGAACGGGTGTCCCCCCCCAGATCTCTCCAGCACCGCAGGATGAAGGCTCTCCTCCTCCTCCTCGCCCAGCTCTGCTCGGCGTCGCTGGTCCCCGGTAGGTGAGGTTGGGGGGTGGAAGGGGGTGCACCCCAAAACTGGGTGGTGTTGGGTGCTATGGAGCCCCGGTTTCCCTCCGCCCGCAGAGAGGGAGAAGGACCCCGAGTACTGGCGGGGACAGGCGCAGGAGACGCTGCGGGAGGCGCTGCGCCTCCAACGCCTCAACCAGAACGTGGCCAAGAACCTCATCCTCT